AAAAAAAAAAAGAAAAAAGAGAGAGATCTATATCAAAAGCAGAAATTCAGTTTAAACTTTCATTCAACCTTTGCTGCTATTTAGCTTTACTATCTCTTCACACTGTGTTTTTCAATGTGTCTTATCGTTACATATTTCTCTTGCCTGGCTTCGGGGGCGATGTCTGCTCCGCTCTGAGTGCACTGCTGTGTGTGTGTTTTTTAGGGGACTTTGGGGACCGTTACTTTGGGACTGATGGCTTCGACAGCTGGAGTGATGAAGAGGACCAGGAGCAGCTGCCACACTGACTCAAACATTTGTGAGACTCTGTGAAAGAAAACACAAACTACTTGAAAACTGTTGTGCATCCTCCTCTTCAGGTGTAGACTAGCAAAAAAAAATTGTTATATTTACTTTTGTGTACTGTAAATTTTTATTTTTTTTTACTCCTCTGAAGATGATGTCTGAGTCCAGGTTTGTGCATGAGGGATATTTTGTTCTGCTCATCTTAAATATTTTAATACTGAACAGTAAAGCAGTGCCATTGCCTTTGAGGTGCAGTAAAACAATAATCCAATAACGTTATTAAATGGGTCCAGGTTGCACCAGCTGTTATTAAATCCAGAACTTAGTAAGAGCCAAAGAGTAAAGGAGTAAGTTCAAAGAGTAATGTACTAAATTTAGTTGGGCAATTAAAATATAGTGAATGTCTTCAGTAGTTTTGACTGTAGTAATGTGTAAATCTGTCATGCATATAGGGAGTTCCAGTTCAATACAGCAGCACCGTGAGGCAGCATCAGTATGGAAACATGCCCACAGTAGCAGGTAATGTTTGCCTTGTTCACAGTCTCAGTTTTACATATTACCAAGCCAAAGTACAGCAGATTGGACCAAAGAAAAGCTCACATATGATATTATTTGAATAAAAATTAGGAGATCACCAACAGTAAGAAGTTTCTAGGCTCGATTTCTGCTGATTGCTAGGCTGTCTCCCTGTGAGTGTGTGGGCTTTCCTCTTACGAGCTTGAAGTCCAGTCGCCTTCTTTTGAAGCTCTTAAGACTACCGTGACCTGGATGACTGAGAGCCTGCAGACGTGGGCTTTCCTCCAGTTTCCTTTCGCAGTTCTAAGACACGTTTGTCAGGTTAACTGGTGATTGGTGAACTTGTCTGTGGCTGTAGAAGTGGTTAAATAATTTAATTTTTCTTCATTAATGGACATTAATGAATACATGTAATTCATCTTATAATTGTTTGGAAGTTTCACATTTAAAAAAACCCCCATAAATTTCATCCTCATGGTGGTGCTAGATGAAAAGTTAGAGGTGCTTCTTTTTGGGGGTGAACAGCACAACAGACAATTTTGAAGGTATTTGTGTGATTCTTGAAGTCGCAGATGAACTGATCTTTATCGATAAAACCAGTTGTGTCTAAACGTAGCTCTGACTATGCTCCATTGGAGAAATGTGTGTTTTTAAGAAGAAAGACATTTCACACAATTTAGATTGAGTGTGAAACGTCTGATTGCATGAACCCTACCACCATTATAGGTCACGTGTTTGGTCATTAGTTTGACCATTTTGTGAGCATAATTTTAGACCTTTACTGTTATAATGTAATTCAACCATATCTTCATAGCAGCAAACTAAAACCAATTAACTCTTTTGCACTCATCTGAACGGCTCAGGCTAATATTATATTCTGGGTATTTGGTTCACATAGAACGCAGCAGTGATGTATAGGATTTACAGGCTATAAAAGTCAGTGTGGTGAAGCCTGTTATAAATTGGGGATATGTTCATTTGCACGTAGTTGTTGAGTCACTTGTATTTTTATAGCACATTTAAAAACAACTGGCTTGGACCCAAAGTGCTTTCCAGTCCAGGCAGGTGGATTAACAAAACAGAGGTAAAACATGGAAGGTAAAAACAGCATTAAGAGAGAAATATGGATAAAGGAACTGGGAACATATAAAAGTAATGGCATAAACACAGTGTAATTACACTTACACGGCATTTGATCCCCTTTCTTCCACATATCCAATTCATAGGATCATTGAGGGGCTGCGGCCTATTTCAGTTGTCATGGGGTGAGAGGTGGGATACACCCTGGCAAGTCACCAGTCTTTCACAGGCTAAGAGACACAGACAACCATCTACAGCCAATGCAGAACCTAACATGCAAGTCTTTGGATTGTGAGAGGAAGCCGTGGGTGCTGGAGGGACCCCACGCAGGCAGAGGAAGGGTTCCAGTCGGGCAGTGAATTTGAACCAATGCCAATTAAACCAATTAAATATTGGAAATAACATTGTTGTAGATCACTACTGTTTTTCAACTGAAAAGAGTTCTCTTTTGTCCTCGACATAAAAAAGAGCAAAAAGTAAAAAATGTGAGCACTTTTTATCCAGTAGGGTTTATTGTGTCTTATAAATCAAATTAAAGCATTAAAATTTACTGTAAATACATAGTTACAAAGGAAACAAGTCTGAGTTTATGAATAGCTGGTGCAACAAGAAAGTGTTCAGTGAACTTTCATACTTTCACACTGCTCTAGAAGGATTTTTCTGTATGAAATGGGATAAACTTATGTCTGAAACAGAGCTGTTGTTTTAATTTATAGTAAAGTCACATAAGAGGAGGGATTAGATACGGATTTAAATGTAAAACATATAAATCTTGGATTCAGGGTATGAAAAACATGAGATTTTGATACAGATTCAGTTTTCAGTCCTCACATCCACCACTCCAAGTTACTGCTGGAGTTTGACATTGTGTGTCTGTGAGGTGCTGGGTCACGGACGGTCACATGCTCATGCTTGAATACTTTAAAAGCTCCTCTCAGGGTTCACGCACAGGCCGCCTGGCTCCTCTCTGCAATGCACTTTAAGGCCTGAAGGGGTCAGTATAGCTCACATTAAGCTTCTTCAGTATGATTTATAGTGTGTTTATTACCTTTGAGAAATGTGTTATTTTACAGCACAGGAAATGCACACGAACTCACCTGAATCACAATTTAGAGGTTTGAGGTGAGCAGCTGGAAACATCCTTGTGCTTCTCAGTTTAGCTGACTGATCTGTTGCTGGGTGCGGTGTGTTAATGCTCACTTGTGAACATGTAAATAATAATGTTTCAGGGCTAAAAATGAGCAGTAAAAGATCACCTTCCTGTTGTGTTCGCGTCTCTTGATCCTTCTGGAGAAAAAACGGACTCCCCAGCCACTTTGTGACCTTATGCTGAGTGTTATCTCTCCTCTGTCTCTCTCTGATCCTCTGTTTTTTCACCATCATGCACTTTGACTGCGTCTGACGGCCTCATTCATTCATGTTTATTCAGTCATTCATGCTCCTCACAGCGAGATTATCACATCACATAAGCTGTGAACGTGGTATCATCTTCACACCTACAGAATCTCCTACTCGTTTGTTTTGGGCTGTTTTCCTTTTTTCCTTCCTGTGATAGCTCTTCGCCGAGTGGGTGACACTGTGATCACGGATGTCATACGACGCACGCTGTATTCTCCAAGACAGCAGAAGACTCGCTCAGCCATGTGACTACTGCCTCAAGGTTAACCTGTTACCATGGAGACAAGCCCACCAATGAAAATTCAGCAGACGGTTGCGCTGTTGACTGCAAGCTTTTTGTTTTAAGGGGTGACCTATTTTTTTTTTCCCTCCCCCTCCCTCCCCAACACTTCACAGCCACTCAGACGCAGACCCCGCTACTCTGGCACATGTGCACGTGCGCACAGACATGCACACTGATGGGAATGCTACTCACACACATGCACATACATGCTCCTCAATGAGGTCTGCAAGGTTGTGCACAGAAGAAGCAAAGGACAAAATGCACAGCTTTAGATTTAAATCAGTGGGAAAACATTATGTGTTTATAAATCATTTCCCTAAAGGGCCATTACAATTATTGGGATGCATTTCTAGAGATATTTTTTCTTTCCTTCCTAGGCCTAAATACTTGAATCTACAGGCAGCTTTTAAGATCACAAGATGGCAACTGTTAGAGAAATCCATCATCATCAGCAGTGCTTGGCAAATTCTGCTTTCTGTCCGTTTTAATAACCGAGACTATGAGATAAAGCATATTTTTTTTAAAGTGCCACTTTATTACAAAAGTATAAACTTGACTGACATTTCATGAATAGTAATCTTGATATAAAACATTACAATCTTTTGCACTTAGCACTTAATTACACGCTTTTGAGTACAAGACCCTGTAGTCTGAATAGCAAACACACAACATTAGCTGCCACATTTAACTTAGCAGGGCTTTCCAAGAACACACCGTAGCTCCACGGCTTCGAAAAAACAACAAACAGAATACACTGAAATTTACATTGCAGCTGTTTTTGCAGTTTGTGTCACAAGATAAAGTCATTCCAAAAACACAACTGAACATAATAGAAAAAGATAGATTTCTTGACACTGATGATATATTTATTATTCTTTCTCTTTTGTCATGTACATACACATTGCATCAACATACAGTATAATCACATTGTTTGCTGGGGATATTTGGTCAAATGAATTTGTCATTACTGTCCAGGCTTTGTATGCAATTTCTGTGCGGTGTCCTCGGGGTGATGCTGCTTAGCCAACCATTTGCTTCACATTTCTGCAATATTTTTAACACTGATAACGGAGAGAGAGAGAGAGAGAGAGAGAGAGTTCGTCGATGGGGTGATGATGAGACATGACGTTTTGCTAATACACATCAGTTCTAGTGGAGCTTTCCATACTGCACTATGATGAAACCAAAGCAGACTCGTATGACCACGAGGAGGGTACTATGTAGATGAACAGTCCACAGATATGAGTGAGGACTGAACAGACGGGAGGATTGTGTGTATGTGTTTCTGTGTGCGTATGTGTTGGGTGGGGTTGAGTGGACTGTCTCCACCTTTAGGACTCGAGCAGTTCTCCTCAGTCTTGTTACATCTGTACTGTGTCTCTTTCAGGTACGGGAGAGAAAAATAATCCTCCCCTCTGCTGCACAGAGTCCCACTGAGCCAAAGACATCCTTAATCTATCTGGCTTTGAGCTCTACAGAGAAATAAAGCAACACACTAACAAAAAATAAACAACCAACGACAATAGAAAAAAAAAACATTCATATAGAGGTACCACATGACAGTGCTTAATTTTTTTTCATGTTTTTTTTTTTTTTTTAGCATGCAACTTGTAGCAGGCAAAGTGCAGAAACAGGATCAACAAAGTAAAACACTTCATTTACAGACGGCAGTGGAGACAGTGTTCAGTCCATGTATAATGAAACAACATGACGGAGGGGAAGAATCTGGTCGGCTTTTTAAAATGTGAAAACGGTCGAAATTAGTCAAAGCTTTTAGGAGGAATGCAAAATATGTGCAAATTTTTTATTTGATTTATAATACTCTCATAATTGTTTCTCTTGGTCCCTGAGCTTTCAAGTATTTTGATTAGTAATTTGTTCATTTATATCCTTTAAATTCCGTCCTGAATCACGTCTTGACCAACTACAGGGAAGGTCTGTTCACAACAGACTGAGTGCTACCAAAATATTTCACACAATGCTTTGCCTTTTTCCCCCAAATAGGAGTCCTACTATATGCGACTTTTTTTACCCGTTAGAATTGAGGAAGAATTTAGGCTTTTTACTTTATTGTGCTTTGCACATATGTATCAGTAAAATAGAAGTGCTACTGTTACCTACAGATTGCTCTGCAATGGTTTTGTGCTCATTTATTTTTCACTACCTTTGGATTCCTTATAAGGATAATAAATTGGACTTTTTATTCAGCCCAGGTCATAACAGAGCAACTTTACTACCTCAAGGCCTCTGGAGCCCGTGAAAGGCTTGACGTTATGACTTGAATGTAAACAGTATGTGTGGGTGAGCATGACAGGGGCTCAGCCGTCACTCCTTGTGGCATTAGCTCAGCTCCTTGTGTTGGAAGGATAGGGGGTCACAGTGCAGCCGCTGCCTCAGAGCCCTGTTACGTACATCTCCATGCCATCGTTGAAGGTGAAGATGGTGGTGGTGCTGGAGGTGGCAGAGCCCTGCTTCAGGTCGCCGATGCTCTCGTACAGGTTCTCCCCCGGCAGCAGAAGGGCTTTGGCAGGCAGGTGCTGTAACTTGGGTGTCTGCTGCGTTGGTGGCGGTGGAGGGGGCTGCTGCTGCTGCAAGGGCTGCTGGGCTTTCTTCCTCCTTGGCCGCAGGGTGGCACACATGTTAGGGGGTCTCTCTCGCTTCCAGGCGCCTCCGCCTTCCATGTTCTCATAGGCCAGATCACACTCCTCTGTCCCAATGGACTCGTAGCAGTGGTCGTCAAGGGGCCCGCCAACTGCTTTGCCCTCTTGAGGTGCCCACGTCTGGGGTTTGACTACTACACTAAACCCCCCATCCCGGTCTCGGTCCCGGTCACCTCGACCCAAGGTCCGGAAGCCGGGGTTGGCTGGGGGAGACCCCGGCACAGCTCTCTTCTTCTTTCCTGGTTTACACACCTTAGAGTACATCTCGGCCACCTGCAATCAAACAAGTTCAGAGATTATCTTCTGTAAAAAGGACTTTAAATAACCCACTCAACCTGCCATTTTATTCACACTATAGCTAAAAGTTGTGTTAGGCAAGCTGCGTAAACCTCCAGAGCTGAAGAATAAAGCCAGCAAGAAGCACCCAAAACCTTATAATCTCTGCAAGACTTCACCTTTACCAATTTGAGTCCCTGCATTTGTACTTCTCACACATATTGTTGACCTTTGGAAGCTTTTAATCTGCAGTCATCTGATAAATGGTCTGTATTTGTATAGCGTTTTACTAGTCCCTAAGGACCCCAAAGCGTTTTACAACCAGTCATCCACCCATTCACGCACACACCACCAGTAGGCAACAGGTGAAGTGTCTCGCCCAAGGACACAACGACCGAGACTGTCCAAGCCAGGGCTCGAACCAGCAACCTTCCGATTACAAGGCGAACTCCCAACTCTTGAGCCATGATCGCCCCACAATAAGTAATGTGCTTTTCTGAGTGGTAGAGCCTGTCAAACACATTAGTTTTTTAGTTTTGATAACTGAAATTCTTTGTTAGCACTTCTACATTGTCTTGATAAGGCCAAGGCCTAATAACTTGTCATTAGTGATCACGAGTGACTACAGCACTCTTTGCCAGCAGGATTTGTTTGAGAGCACTTGTTGGATTAATATTTGGAACAGTGAGGAAGTCCAAGGAATTCAGTGAAGCTCCAAGAAGGAGAACTGTAGATTTTCACAACTTGAGAAGGTCTCTTGGAGCCACTTATAAAAAACTGCGAAATCCAACATCATCATTTCAAAATATTGTGATAAATACACATTATTAAGATGTGTCACCACTTTTTCAAGACCTTCAAGAGCCAAGCTGTCACTCTCAGATGAGAGGAAGTTGGTAAGGATATTCAGGAACCATCAAGGCTCAAGCCTGCCATGAAGTGGAAATTTCTGGAACACCAGCATCACTGTCCACAGTGAAATGAGATTTACATCATCATGGACTAAGAGGGTGCTGACCAAGTAAAAAGCCACTGCAACAAATCTGACACCTTAAGGCTCCACTGAAATTTGAAGTTGCCCTCATGGCCAAACCAAATGACTTCTGGAGAAATATTTTACAGTCAGACAAAGATGGAGCTGTTTGGCCACAGTGACAAGATGTATGTTTGGAGCAGTTCAGGTGAGGCTTTCAAACCTAAGAACACTGTACCAGCTGTCAAGCATGGTGGTGATAGCATCATGCTCTTGGGTTATTTTACTGCCGGTCCAGTATCACCTCAAATTAACAGCTACATGGTGGAAACTTGGACAGAATTGGGTGTTTCAACAGGACAATGTTTAGTAATGGATAAAGGAAAAACAGCCCATATGCTAGAGCCACTACAGGTAGGGAATTAGTACGTCTAAAGCTCACCAATTTTCTTTTACATCATTTATTAAACCTTACAGAAACCCAAAGAAAAAAGTACCGTAAGAGTTTTGGGTTGTAAAAAATCACTGCTCCCAGACAAGAAGTAGTCCTGGTCATACAGCAGCATACACAGTTTTATTTTCCAACAGACTAATCGATTAAGTTTCTTATCTGTACACTGGGGGAGTCAGGATGCACACAGATCCAGGCAAGCTGCTTCCTGTCATTTATGCTCAGTTATGTGTCTCCTGGGTCCTGCAGATATGAGGTAGTCTCTCGTAACCCTTGGTAAGAAAGCCATGGCTCCTTTACCTCTTTACCCCATAAAGACAACCTCCCCTATACCCTTAATGATGAGTTTTGAAACCTCAGTATAGGTCATTAAATGCGAGGTTTGACAACTCTTTTTTTCCAAGGCCAGACCTAGTAACCCATATAGGAGGAGATCATCCTCCCTAACTTCTAAGGAAAACCCAGTTTTTAAATGATTAAATCAATTAAATAATGTGCGTGAAACATCTTGTTAAGCATTCATTTAAGAGGGAATGGGGAGCTCTAAATGGGATGATCCATAGACGGAAAAAATAGAAACCCCCAGCTTACCGCAGCAGCAGACGGCTGTATATTCTCCACTGTGTGAGCACTCAGCGGGCCCAGGGCTTTATTTTGGAGCATGAGCATGTCATCATCCTCTGGAGGCTTCCAGATGTACTGCTCTCCGTTGCCCATAAACATCACTTCCTGTCAACAGAACAATAAATCACATTTGGGGCAGAGCTGGTCACATGGTCATGCGTGAATCTGCACTGAAAGAAATGAGCATTCATGAATTTAAAAAGCGGATTTTACTAAACAGACGCAACAGGGCGGATGCATGGCAAATTAACCCCTCTTAAGAATCCTGCGGCACATAAAAACATACTGGATGGATTTCATACAGGGGTGAATAGATTTTCCCTGGAAGGTGGAGCCTGCTTATATTCTGGATGACTCAATTTCAACACCTTGCGTCATCCACGGGAAAATCAGCAGTGAACAGGCCTGTGAGCAAACTGCTTACACATGTAAGCCTGTGAACTGTGCGTGCTGTTGAACTCAGGTCACAGCAGATAGAGCGACCCCCCTGACCTCACGCGGGGCAGCAAATGGTTTCCCACTGTTACCTGGAGGGGTGCACAAAGCCTTACAGCCACAGTAATAGCAGACAGTCTGCCTACACTCCTGCTGCTGCGAACATATGGAGGAGGTGACACTGCTGAGAGCAGAAATACCCCACTATCACCAAAAACTCTTCGACAAATAAACACCGCTCAGCGCCTAGACTTCAAAGAAATTCTAACATATCACAGCACCATGCATGATGTAGCCAAGTGCTCTGGAAACTGCAACACTGGCACAATTACAACCGAGCAGATCCTCTGCAGTATCAACAGGAACTGTGAAAGAAATACTCTGCAGATCCTGATCACAGCACCACAAACTGCATATTAATGCGTCGTACTGCTGCTGACAGAGAATAACAGAATGAAATAATGATCACAGTGACATTTCTGACATTTCTGTCCAAACAGAAACTGATGGCCCCATGTTCTATGGAAACTTGTTATCCGTTTACTTGGCTTCTGTCATGTCTATATGTACAATAGCGGTTGCTCATACATGGCTTCACACTGCTCTAAGCGATCAGTTTCAGACAGTTGATTTTTTTTCTCATGGCTCTGTTCAGTGTCAGAGATTAGATATCACTAATGTGGACATCTCAGGCACACAGCTTTGGCTGTGAGCACAGAAACCCCACCCACATCTTGGCCTAACCTTCTGGTTTAGAGCAATAGCCAATCAGAAGAAAGGGGGTTAAAGGAGGAGGGACTAAAACTGCTTGTTTTAGAAAGTGGATGACCTGAGATACTGCACCAAGCTCCAGTGTAAGGAGTGGAAAAAAATCCAAGGCTGATCTGCACAAGACACTAAAAACTCAGCAGATAATTTTTTCTCTCCCTCTAGACATCCTCCTTAACTTCCTTCAGTTCATAAAACCGACCACTTAAGGTGATGCTGTGTTTCTGTGGCTTATTGCACAGAAATATGTAGCTGTCAGGCATCAACATTACTTTGGGTTTTATTTATTTAGGAATCACTTTGCATTTATTGCTTAAATGATAAATATTACATATTTTCCTAAGTATCGTGATGATTTGTAGAGAGGCATATCCGTCAGTCTTTGTCCTCTCATTTCTCGTGTGCATCTCAGCAAAGTGCTGCTAAGTTTTGCCACCCAGCTGCAAAATGTGACAATGCTATCATATGAGAAAAGGTAATTAACTGCATGTTTTGGAAAGCTAAGTATAATAATTTCACTAGCCACGCTAAGGCCTGATTATTGCCAGACCTGTTGAATCGAGAAATTACTCAAACAGATCCTTTTGGATAAAATGATTTAAAATATTTAGAAAAACAACACCGTGCCACAATCTAAAGAAAATCAAGAACTACTGAGACACAAAGTCATGGACATCCATCAGTCTGGAGAGCATTATAAAGCCATTTCTAAGGCTTTGAGACCGCAGTGAACCCCAGTGAGAGCCATTATCCACAAATGGAGAAAACTTGGAACAGTGATGAAACCTTCCCAGAAATGGCTGGACTACCAAAATTACACCAAGAGCGCATCAATGATTCATCCAGGTCGGAAAAGAACCCAGAACAACATCTAAAGGGCGGCAGGCCTCGCTTCCTTCAGTTAAGGTCAGGGTTCACGTTTCAACAATTAGAAAGAGACTGGGCTAAAATGGCATCATGAGCGAGTTCGAAGGAGAAAAATAAACACAGATGAGTGAAAAGAACACAAATGCTCGTCCCACATTTGCCAAAAACACCTTGATGACCCACAAGACTATTGGGAACATATTCTGTGGACTGATGAGACAAAAGCTGAACTTTTTGGAAAATCTGAGTTCCTTTACCACTGGTTATCAGTTCATGCCCAGAAGTTCAAGCACACTTGGGCTATGCAGCAGGATAATGATCCAAACCACATCATTGAGTCCACCTCTGAATGCCCCTAAAAAAAACTTGCAGTTCTCATTGCCGTGTGGCACAAGCTATTTGGTTTAGGAGGCAATTACTTTTTCACACAGGGTCAGATAGGTTTGGATGACTTTATTCCCTTAAAGAATCAAATCATCATTTTATTTACTTGGATTATCTAAACGAGTCTCTCCTTGTTGACTAATATATATATATATATATATATATAATATAAAACATGAAAAAATAAGAAATCAGAAGGGCGCAAATTTTACTACACTGTACCCGAGAAGTTATTTTTAAGAATTATCTTGATTAAATTGAATTTTTAAAGTATCTCTCCCTCTTTTCATTAAAATGATCACTTGAGTGTTGTATAAAAACCATGTCTAAAAGTCATGTGGAGTCAGCATCAAGTATAAATCACACCTGTGACAAGTTTTAAAAGAATAGTTTAACATCTGGGGAAACAACCCGTGCTTATTTTCATGCTAAGAGTTAGATGATAAGATTTCTGCTGCTTTCATGTCTCTAACGGAAATCTGAAGCTTAGCTCTGTCCACAAGTAACAATATCCTATTATCAGGGCTCACTAATTAATTTGTTTGATCTAATTTGATAAATTCCCACTTAAAACTGATAAAACTGAACAGCAGGAGAAAAAGAATGGTTTTATTTCTATTTCTTTCCTTCTGTTGTAAATTGCTCTTTTTCAAATCAGTTCTCTAGTTCCAGGTGCAAACACCAGCTGTTCAGGTGTTAATATTTTTATAATGTGCCTGAGAAAGTTTTATTTTTCTAAACTTGAATGTGTAATAACCTCAGAAAGTACTCAAAAGCTGTTTGCGCATCTTATTAGGGGTTGGGAAGCTCATCTTGTAACCGGAAGGTTGCCGGTTCAATCCCCAGCTCTGTCTGTCTTGGTCGTTGTGTCCTTGGGCAAGACACTTCACCTACCACCCAACTGGTGTTGGCCAGAGGGGCCGATGCCGCGATATGGCAGCCTCGCTTCTGTCAGTCTGCCCCAGGGCAGCTGAGGCTACAACTGTAGCTCGCCTCCACCAGTGTGTGAATGTGAGAGTGAATGAATAGTGGAATTGTAGAGCGCTTTGAGGGTCTCGAAAAGCGCTGTATAAATGCAATCCATTATTATTGTGTTGTAGATTCCATTTGAAAGGGAAAATTTTTAAAGTGAAAATAGATCTTTGGATTTTTGTTGCAAACTTATTGAGATCAAAAATTGAAAGCTTATTTATAAAAGTGTTCTGACCCTCAGTTCAATGCTTTTTAAAGCCCCTCTGGCATCCTTTAGAGCATTGAATCGTCTTAGGTTAGTTTCTGCAGGCTTTGTACACCTGGATTTGGACAGCTGATCCCATTCGTTCTGGCTGATTTTAGTGGCAAAAACTTCCTCCTTCTCAAAATGATTGAATCCACTGTACTCCTGGGGGCACTCGAAGCTTTAGAAATGGTGTTGATCTATACTTCACCACATTTTTATCATGGAAGTCTACAAAGTTACTTAAACTTTATGGCTTGGTTTTTATCCTGACCTGCAGGAAGAAGCAATGTGTTTTTTGAAACTGTTCAGCTGATTTATTTTCTCATAAGTGGAGTTCGGTTTGACTTTAAAAACAACTGAAGGTTTATTAAAGCAAATTATTATTAATCATTATTTATGATCATTTCTCATGTTTAGTTTTTTGAAAAATCAATATAATAAAGGTGCTTTTAAGTTGTGGTGAATAAAGCAAGCCTTTCTTATATATGGGAACATACCTGAGTGGTGAACGACAGGTATATAAAAGCAGTAATTGAGATGAGGATATCTGATATTGTGAGACAAACAATTCTGAAATGTTTAATAATAATCTTTGTATAAATTAGAGAATATTTAAGCGAGAGCTCCAACTGGAAAGTTATTTGTGTAGTTTAGATCATTCTAGTCGGTGTTATTTAGCATGTTAGTGGTTTCCCAGTAGATATGGGCAGATTTTACGGAGTTGATCATATTAAACATTTATGTGAACTTTGTAGCTTGGAAAAACTTGGAGATGAGTGTCATTATTTGAATGCAGTCAAAAATATCTGCCTGTGTATTTTAGGTTGAGACCAAAGGTTTGGAATAGTTGTTTAATACTTAGGATAGTTTACTGCCTAAACTTGCAAAAATTAGTAAAGAAATTGTATCTGTATTTGGATGTGGGTGATTTGTTGACAGTTTTCTTTTTTCTTTTTTGTTAACGATGATTATTGATGATATGTATTATATAACCCTATGTTTTGTTTGTTGTATATTTTCTCTTTTACCTCTGGAGGAAGTTTAATGGGAATGAAATAAAGTCTAAAGTCTAAATAAAGGCAATCTCAGCGTAGAAATGCCAAAAAACTGCAGTTCCTCTTTTGGTCATTTAAAGCCAAATTCAAAAGTGAGTCAATAAGCTTAGAGTTTAATGTTAAAATGCCCATTTTTACACAGCATAGTTACAAAAAAATATGGGTTAGGTCAATCTAGCAAATTTCCTCCTTCATGGAAAGTATACTTGTAATTATTCTCTATGACTTATTTGTTATAGCTACCCATTTCTGCTGCATCAATCTTTTTTTGAGGTTTGTTGCAACTTGGCTTCATACAGTCTACAAATGCATCTTACTAACCAGCTGATTACTCCAACTTCTGATCCAAACATGGTAACTTCAAATCTAAAATGTCAAACTCTTCCTATCAGATCATAAAGATTAGGTTTTCAGTATGCAAAACATTTAACCCTACCAACCTTTGGGAAGGACGGGACATTGAAGGCCTCGACGTTTCTACGGGGCAACTTGGTGCTGTGAGGGTGTGGTGGAGGAGGAGCTGGATGTGAAGGCGGGGCATGTCTTGGAGGCGGTGCCGGTGGTTCTCCCATATCCGTCCCGCTGTCCCTCTTTTGAGGCGCCTTATCTGCTTTCCTCAGCTTCCTGACGCAGGCGTACTCGGCCGTCTCCGGAGGGTGAGGGGGTGTCATGACCTGGGCCTCAGGTTCGGGGAGCCCTCCTTCCACATCGCCGTCTGGGTCTGGGGGCGCCGGGGTGTTGGCAGGGACGGCCGGAGGGGCCGGAGTGTCTGTCTGCCCGGCCCTGCCTACCATGGCGTAGAGGGCATCATCAGTACGTGAAGTGGAGGAGCGCCGGCCCACTTCAGAGTAAGTGTGCTCGCCGTCCTCTCCAGTCCCAGAGGGGATCTGGGGAAGCTGCCTGCCTTGAGAACGAAGGTCAGAGTTAGACCGGCGGCTGGGCAGCAGCAGAAGGTCCGTGCTGGCTAGCCTTTTCTTTTTAGATGCCTCTGCAAGGCACATACAGCCTGCTGTTCTACCGTCCGTGCAGCCGATACCCCCCTAGGGAGCAGAACTCACAAACTATGCTCCTCTTTTACCGGAAGGTTCAGCAAACATTTGTGAACATGAATAAATCTCTCACTGGTAAGAGGAAATCTGAAGCTGACAGTAAACTGGGAACTGACATAGATGTTTGAGAATATGCATCCAAATTGGCTTCATTCCACTGCAGTGGAAGCAGGACAAGTATGAAGCAGGACATATGCTTATATTTCTTCAAACTCTCTGAGGCTACTGTCACAGTGCCTACAAACACAGTTCCCCTGTTGACTGTCAGCGATGGAGCTCCAGGATTTATCTTGGCACTGTGATTTGTGTCTTTGAGAGCGAGAGAGAGATGCACGTTCATAAATCAAGACTGAACCGTCTAGTGGAATAAGGCTGAGTTGTAAATGTAATGTGAATTCTGTTTCAGGGTAAATTTCTCCGCAAATATGTCCTCAAATCTTTTCAGAAAAGAAGATTTGTGGATTTAGGGCCAGATCGGATAGTACGGATGTGGAGAAAAAATGTTGCACTTATTTGCAATATTTACATTAATTTTTTTTATCACCGCCAAGGAAGTTATGTGATTGGTTTAATTCTTTTTTTCCCTTTCTTTCTTTTCTTTTAATCTTTACTTTGTTTGTTCGTTAGCAGGATTACTCTAAAGGTTACGGATGGATGTGCATGAAATTTTACCAGAGATGATTAACTTTTGAAGTCAATCCAGATCCAGCTCTTCATCCAGGAAGTTTGGGAGGATTCTTTACCAGATAGGGCAAAATTGGACATTTTCACATCATAGCTTCACAAATACATTTCAGATTGAAATAAGAAAAAATCTGGAGATGTCATCGTGATGACCTCAAAACAATATCACAAACAAGTCTCAGGAGGGAGGGAATTTTCAGTCTCAGATGACTGTTTGAGTCAGACTGTGACCTGGAGGCTGAAAATGAGGACAAAATGAGTAAACAGATAAATATATGTATAAAAAATCCATTAAAGTCCTTTCAAGTGTTTCGCTTTTGAAGGTTTCTTAAAATCTGACTGACTTTTGGAGTTGACCCAGACTTGTGTCCAGCAGTTTGTATTTGTATAAATGTATAAATAATAACTATAAAGTTAAACAAGCCAAAACAGAACAGATAGTGGTTACATTTTATTTATAGTACTTCTACTTGTTATGCTGTTAATTGGCTGTTACATTTTTCAAATTATTTTCTGTTTTACCATTTCATGCACAAATTTGTTCTCGCTCTAGTGTATCTCCAGCTTTGGTGATTGACACGGATTTAAATTAACAAAACAATTACAAGCTTCTAATGTGTCTAAGGAAAAAATGAAATACCCCATCCCTCTGAAAATTCCCTCCAAACCCCCCTGCATAATATCAAAAGTGCTTTGTCATGCAGCTGGTCGGCTCCTAAAGAGCTGATATCATGGCGATGCAAGGTTTTCGTCTGACACCAGCGGCGTACCATATAAAAAGCCCAGGTCAGGATTAGTACGTAAAAGATGCACTCACTTTTGCCATTGCAGTTCATCTTGTTCATCTCAGTGTCTGATTTACTGATGGACCGCAGCTTCGACTGCCTGAGTATACCCTGACAACACAAACGCACACAAACAGACAAACACAGGGGCCAGTTAAACACTAATTAAGACTGAAGAGGTGCCCTCTGAATGATAGTGCGCCCTGCTGGATTGAGTTTATTCAGCTAGCTCTGCTGCAATACAAACAAAACACTGAGGAGCATGTTGTCTGATACCTACCATGTCCATGAGGCGGTGTTTTCCACCCTCGCCGGGGACATTGTGTGTCTTCCCCTTCCTGTGACAAACACAACCACTCTGTCATACACGATTCAACACTGTGTGTGTGTGTGAGCCTTGTTTGTGTGCGGCTGAGTCATCCTATGACTGTGCATATGTGAGAGAGACATTCAAAGTACATTTGCACATGTGCATACCAGTGGTGGAGGATTACTGAGCACTCGAGCACTGTAGTGCAGGTTTGATGTTCTCTACTAGATTACAAGAGCCCTTCGACCACATTTAACCAGATTTCAGATTAATATGCAATTTTTTAAACAGCAAGTTGTTAAACTTTAAACCGGGCATGTCAACCTTTTTGCTTCTTTCCTCTTCAAATCAGTTTTGCATCAAAAATAAAGATTAGAAGAAATTTCAAAGTTTAAAACCTTTTTTTTTTGTTATTAATCGTGTTATGAACCCTCACTTCTGCCTTTTGACCCTTTGCAGGGGGCCTAATACTTATGCTTGAAACCACAGGATTAAACCACTCAAGTAGGTAAAAGTAGTTCCAGCTTGGATTTTGCCAGTGGAATAGAGCTTCTACTTTATTTTACTGGCACTTCTGCTGAAGCTTATTTAAAAGGTTTGAAATAGGGATTCATTGATTGTGACTCGCAGGGAATCATAATTTGGTCTAAAGATGCTGCCAATACCAATTTGTTTTTAGTCTTTATATTTTTGTTTTTGTTGTTTAATTCTTCTTTGATTCTAGCAAAATAAAGTAATCTTTCTAAAGCAATATCTGACTTGTTTTAAAGTCTTTCTGCTCGTATCACACAATCTTTAGCTGCGATAACTGACAAATATGAGTAACTGGCATCCATAAATCTAAACTCATCCACCAATATACCAATATCATTCAAAAAGGCCAAGAGCGACCAATCTACAGATCTTAAAAATGAACATCCTGATTCTGAACATGTGTGTACGGTCATTCATGCGTGCATAGCGCTCACCTCTGGCAGCCCACGCAGAGCACCACAATAAGGATCGTAACTACAAAGGCTGAGGCAGCAGCGATAGCACCCAGCAGCAGGACCTTGCCGTAGGGAGGAGCCGTGAAGTTCAGCCCGTCCTGCATGGAGGCCATGTGGGAGCGCTGGCGCTCACTTGCTCTCACACACACTCACACTCACACCCTTACACTCATGCACGCCGGGAAGTGCCACGGTCTCACTGGGATCTGCAGGGAGAAGGCACAGAGCGGTGCTTAATTACAAAGTGATCTAACCTTTACGAAACATTAAGTACGTTAACAAAGCAGCGGAGCCAAAATATTATATTCACGGTGCAGAAGGAGAGCAGCAGTTTGAAGAGAGAGTGAATTCCCATCCAGGATGAAGCACTGAAGTGAACAGACATTACGCCTCAGGCATGTGCTGCTGCTTTACCTTGTTTGAGGGATTACCGAGCTTTGTGTCACACCTACATAGACATCAACAGCATACCTGCTCGGCAGCATAGCATCTATGTCTAAACATTACCGCATCGATCCAACAATACATTTAAACGGGACCTACAATTTTTTTTTTACGTTTTTTTCCCTTTTCAGCAGTGAGTACATGTAAAACTCAACCAAAGTTGTCCCTAAACCAATTTGAGCAGCCAAGGAACAGAACAACAAGCTCCTGCCTTCAGCTGCTACCTTTCAGTCATTGCCCAAGATCTGTGAGTAGTGATTGTAAGAACAAGATGGTGGATATGAGCGGCAAAAGTGAGCTTCCATCAAAGGGTATCGGGGCTCAGCCAAAAGGGTAAGATGAAGAGTATTTGGCAATGTGGGAGGACTTCTTGTAGAGAGAGTCTCTCCTTTACTGCACCAAAGGAGAAAGTTGAGGTAGTTCGATCATCTGATTGGGATGCCTACTGGGTACCTCCACTGTCCAACTGGGAGGAAACCCCGGGGAAGACCCAGGTCACGTTGGAGAGATTATGTGTCTTGGCTGGCTTGGGAATGAATAAGTGTTCTCTTCTTGAAGAGCTGGAGCAGGTGGCTGGGGAGAGGGAGGTCTGGGTATCTCAGCTTTGGACTGCTGCTCTGGTCACCCAGACTTGGATACACAGCAGAAAAAGGATGTATAGCCAGATTTTCAAAAAGATTGCAGTACTTGAGTCAGCAAATCTCAGGCTACACACTTCTCTGAACACTCAATTTCAAACACTTGTTTTCTGCTCTTGACTCTGTATGATGGAAAAAAAACAAACAAACAGAGCAGATATCCCTAATATGGCCATCTCAGCCCAAAAACCTATGGCTGTTAGCACTAAATGTGCACACACTTGCTGTTTTAATCTTTAAATTGTGAGGGCCAGCCAATTAGAAGGATGTTATAAAAGGAAGGAGAAGGAAGCCTTTTTTTAAGAAAGTCTATGAACTGACAGACTGCAAGAAGACCCAGAATAAGATAAACTCTTTAGAATATTGAATTATACAAAACTACTCTAGAAAAGTCCAAGAATGCAAACATAAAGTTTGAAACAAACATAATAGGCCCCCCTGTCACTGAATACACTGTTCTAACTAAAAAAAAGAAATCTGAGCAGTTTTGTGAGACACCGTGCTATTTTTCAGGTTGTTTTAAATGGTTAATGTAAATTTCCCTGTTTTGCTTGTTCTGCCATGAACAAACTTCCATATTGAGGAGGTACAATGAGTCACAGTAAAGCCGAACATGCCAGCAGGCAGAGTGACCTGAAACACCGAAGGAGACAAGTGTGAAAGCGGAGCGAGCAGACACACACATCTCTCCCTCTTCCTCTCTGCTGCTTGGTGCTTGGCAGACAATTTTCACATTTGGCAGCATAATATGTTTCAAGTAAACAATAAAAAACACGGAGCTATAACAAAAAGACCAAACAAACAAGCCTAATCTCCGTCAAATTATGCCATCTGTCTACTATGACAACATCTTTTCATGTGTGTTAATGCGTGTTTGTCACTTGTCTATCAGCAAAAACGCTGCAGACTGCAGGAAACATACTGAAGTTGCATGTATCTGATTCTTATCTGTTTATTCAGTTTAAAGCTACGGATTTCTTTTTAAGCAACACAATCTATTGGACTGTGTCCTTTTAGACAGACTCTTTGTAAGGTTTGCGTATGGGCATCCTCTTTAAACAACGTAATTTAGTTTTGGATTCCACGCAGACAATTTCCTTCTATTCAAGATTTAATCACCACAGACTGAATTACTTTACCAATTTGTCTGGAGTCTTGTGAGCAACATGTATCCTCTCTGAAGGTTAACTAAAGCCTTGAACACCTTCGGGCTGTTTTTAGGAGGAACTACCACATTACCACTGGGCTTTTCAGAAACAAACACATCAGCCTGAAGCGGCTCCGGTAATTCAGCCCTCGCACTGCATTCTGAGTGTGAGGCCAAATAAGGATTCAGATCAAGTGTGAATTGCTGTTATACTCTTCTTCATTCTTCCTTGTACCTGTGCACATTCACTGTCACCTTGTGATTTGGTTGAATACAGTTTGGGGTTCATTTTTCTTTGGGACAGTCATAGATTTGAACTGTATTTCTGGTGATTCTGTCCACAAATATTTTATGTACCAAGTACCTGGTAACAAATAAATTACTAATTAGTCTCTCATCCAGCTCATCAAGTCTTAGACTACAGTCCTTGTTCCTTGTTAGGATCACTGTGCATGAACCAGAACCAGTTTGCCACCTGCCACAGGTTCAGCTTTTAGAGGCCAGTCCAGCTTACGACAGATCTCAGAACAGAAGGAGGACTACCATCATCATCTTCAGTCCAGGATAGTGGAGGCAGGCAGCTAATTAATAATAACAGTTCTCATGACGTTGAGTTACTGTTTAGTCACTTCCTGTTTTGTTTTGAAATCTATGTTTGTTATGAACATCAGTTACTCCTTTCTTTACCCGCCTTTTCATGCCACAACTCCTACATAACTCCTCCAAGTTGACTGATTGCCCGATTTGTTATCACCATTCAGGATTTCATGCCATTTCTTACTGTCCCCTGTTTTGGTGACTTATGAATGTTTTTGTTTGTTTTATTTGTAATTTATGCTTTTTTTGAGCATTTGCCTATCTTGATAGATTTGTTTCCGCTCTCTGACTAAACACCTGTATATAACCAGTTAAAAGTTCTGAATTTTGGTCTCCTGTGTCTCCCTGTGGGAAGGTTGCTCTTGCCTCCCAGCAAGAAAGTGCTGTGTTTGAATTCACCATCTGGCTAAGGCCTTTCTGTGCGGAGTTTGTATGTTCTCCCTGTGTCTTCTTGGGTACTCCAGATTACTCCCACAGCCAAAAGATTTGCATCTAGTGGGGCTAGGTTAATTGGTGAGACTAAATTGCCCAAAGGTGTGAATGTGAGTGTGAATGGTTGCATGTCTCTCTGACTGGCAACCTGTCCACGGTGTGCCTCTCGCCTCATGGCACCTGGGCTAGGCTCCAGCTCCCTGTGATCCTGAATTGGATAAATGAAAGAACACGGATGGATAGATCCCTATAAACAAACAGTTATTCCAATTCATTCTGACTGGGGATGAAGACACTTTGTTTAAAACCCTAAATGAGAACCTGAAATGGTTTGTCGAATCTTTTGTTAAATGTTGGTAGATTTCACTTGATAATGAAAACTTTGACCTTCTGATGGCCCTACAGGAGAATCACCAGACAAAATTTGCCTTACGGGAATTATAATTACCACTACCAAATTTTATGGCAATACATCCATTGAGTGCGGCTATATCCTGTAATAAGTGGAAACTAAAAACTTTAAACATAAACCAGCTTTCAGTGAATATTGATCTGTTTTACTCAATAATGAATAAAAAATTGAGGGAATCACCAGTAGAATGTATACTTTGGGAATATTATGAAAATCTTACCAAATTTGATGGCTGTCTCTATCAGATATTTATTTTCAATTAAAAAAAAACTCTGCTGTGGCCTCTTCACAATAAAAGTCTTTGTTGTTCTCCAGTGGAGTTGTACTGTGAAGGAAATGTTGACTGAGTATTAGCCACATGAAAAAAAGCTGCGTGAAGTGTTGAGTTTAAAACAAAAAACAGTCAAATGTTTCTAAAGTTGCCTGAGAAACTTTGCACAACTCAGAGAATGGTGGGATTCTTCTTTTATATCAATGGTCGCTGCAGTAAACCCACAATATTTGATTACAATGACTATTATTGATTCCCGTGGCTCATGCTAACATTTATCCCAAGTTAACAAGAAAACAAGTCTAATCTCTCACATTTCATGTTATCTGATGTACCTTCATCTCTCCCACAGCCCTTCACAAAGCATGAGCATGTGTCTCCATGTTGGGGGAATGTACATTTGAAGCTATGAAGAACATTTAAATAAAAGTGACCCAAGTTTTAAAGGCAGACATAATGTCAGAAAGGGGCTTTTAACATTTATTTTAGTTCCTGCTTTCTTAGTCTTTCCTGCAATCGGTTGCTCAGAACATATTGTTTAACTCAGTTAATCACATAAAGTACAAACATATGGCATTTTTGAATGTCTCTATGGTATTGTAGGAGTTTTGCTGACTTTTGCTAGTTTGCATTTGTTCCAGTAGAAATCCAGAGATGAACTCAACTGTTCCCACCATCAAATCTAATTTGCACAAAACTTCCTACACGGTCGTGTTGATCGGTTTTTATGCGCTCTGGTTAATTTTTCTATTGCAAGTTCAGTGTGATCTAACCAGAGCGCTACACTAACGAGCTTTGTTTTCTTCAGTGATTGTTATTAGTAAGATCCATGTCACATTTTCCCACAGTGGGTAAAATGCAATTTTTTAATTCTCTGAGTGTGTCTCAGGAATCTGGTTTCACAGCACATCTGACAAAACTATTCTGACTGTGACCTGCTTTTAATTCCTCTTAATCATCTACCGGTGCTACGCCTTAGCTGAACAACTTCCAGAGCAAGTAGTCTGAAACATCATGTTGGATTTAAAGAACCATAGTCACCTAGGAGGCAATGACCAGTTAATTCATAGAGTAATTATATGTGTGCAGATTTGACAACAGAGCAGAGGAGTGGATATGGAGCGGGAGAAGATAATTAGAGAAAAGAAAGGGAAAAGATGTAGGTGTGGAGGAATAGAAAGGAGAGAGAGGAGGGAGGAAGACATGTGTGGGAGTCTTGTGGCAGGTGTTTTTGAAGACACTGAAAGCAGATGATGAAAAGAGGCTGTCACATTTCCTAACAAGGCTTCCCAGCCTTCCTTCCTTCCCTCTTGCTCCACTGTGTCAGTGAGTGTGTCCACACCTCCCTGGCCATTCTTCTTTCTCTCTATCCCCTTGCCTCCGCCTGCGGTGTTGAGCCAGAGTGACGCCTCAGCACTGCAGTGTAATCTCTGGCCCTAGAGCTGCTTCGTATGAGCCAACCAATTGGACGTAGTGCTCAGAGCAAGAAATGGCCATCCACTGGCTGCCTTTATGCTACACAAAGCCCACCCTCCCTCCTGTCTGTGATGCTTAGTGTGCTCATTACAAACTATGGGCTCTATCCTTCAATACCTGCAGGTGTGGATTTGCCAGGTGTTGCCCTGACTGTTTATCACAAATGAGATAAGACCGTATGTGACCAGGAAACTGGAACATCATTGATCAGTATTGGTTTTGACAAATGTGGTTCTTTGATGATTCAAAATATCACATGGGAGCGCGATTTTGACTTTTGGGAGTAACAAAATGCTATTGATGTGGTTAAAAGCTCCCAAGGCTAGAGAGTAAGGTTTTGGATCCAGTTTTGTCTTCATATTTTGTATATCTTCATCTCTGCACGCATCAGGGGAGAAAAGGCTGCAAGCGCCGCAGCAGTCAGTCGATAAAGACAAAAAACAGTTAAAAATATCTGACACCGTTTCATTGATGTCAATAAATAACCTGTTTTGTTCAAAATATTTTTAAAACATGAATTGATCACATGGTCATAACGCATTGACTGTGGGAATGCAGCGATTATTCAGTTAACTGACTCACAGAAAACTGATTTGATGACTGACTAAGAGTTGAATTTTCACAGAGAGGATTTGTTATGTTTGGTCTAAGGAAAGAGTAAAAGTGACAGTGCGATATTACTACAATGCAATATCATACATTCACCACAATAATGATGGCATCACAATACAGCAATTCTACAACACATGCAAGCTATTCATCTGTGATGCATTACAATTACTGTGTAAATAAAGAAGAAAATATTGTATTTTTTGCTTAAAAAAAAGCTAAACTCCACATATTACTTAAAGTTGACTCATTATGCTCATTTTCATTTCCATATTTTTATTCTTGGAGTCTAATTGGCAAACTTTGCATGGTTCCCCTTTCAAAACAAACCCCGTTTCTCTTCCTCTGGGGCTCAACTCATCATGTATCTGAAACAAGCTGTTTTAGCTCCCTCTTTCAGGCAACTGTCTTCTGATTGGCTGCCCCTCATATGCAGAAAGTTTAAACAGCATGTGGGTGGAGCTTTTGTTCTCACAGCCAGATCTGTGCCTGTGATTACCCTATCAGGAACATCTGCTCTCAGTGACATCATCCAGAGTCAAGAGTAGAAAAAAACTGTTTGAAACAGTGTGTAGAACCGTTTGAACTTTCATCTCACAGGGATTAGAAATGCACTGACCTCATTATGTAACAGTATATCTAAAACAGTTTCTTCTTTTCACCACAAGCTGACTTCAGCTTCACCTTCATTCATTTGATAAGCACCACTATGAGGTGTCATGAAGCGGTGACTCTGGTGAGTCAAACTGATGGCATGTTTTAATAAAAATAGTGAAATATTTTGCTGTGTTTTTATTGCATTCCTGTAATTTCCACCTTATGATAAACTGGTTGGCAAAAATTTAGAGTGTTTATCAGATGACGCAAAAATATTTGAGAAAACAGGAGATTTTGCACTGATCTCCGATGTTTTACGGACCACAGCGTGAATCAGAAAAGCGGTCGATAGCTGCAGGTCACCTGTTGACTTGGACCTGATTGGAATGGCTGCAGAAGAAGAGGGATGGTTTACAGGACTGATGTGGACTCATACTCTGTAACCATAAAATTTCACCCTTTTTTTTTAACATGTACATGATTTCAAAAAATAACATGCTCATTTTCTCTATGTGTGGCATAAAACAAGCCCATGGGGATAAAATACAGAATTATGGTGTAAAACCCACAGAAATGCATCTTCAGGAATACATTTAACGCTAGAAGCAAGTCATACTAGTAGGCCTTTAATTTTCTAGGAACATGCACATGCACTGCATTCACATGTTTGTTCATTATTAATAATCCTGGAGCTCCTTTCAAACAAGCCCAGCCAGCCAACAGTGGCCTCTCCACCAATCTGCTCAGGTTTTGATAAACCACCTGGGAGTTCATGTGGAGCAAAAAAAAAACAAAAAACCTCACCCTCTGTGTGACACAAATAACAGCAGTGTGTGTGTGTGTGTGTGTGTGTGTGTGTGTGTGTGTGTGTGTGTGTGTGTGT